TAAAATTATTCAAAAACACAGCATAGTAAAAATACTCCTAAAAGCACAATATATCCAACAAGTTACTCAAGTAACTTTAAGTTTGTTTTTCTTTCAGTGGGTAGAAAATCCAGAAATTTTACTAAAAGTTACAGTAGAGATAATAAACCATTATCATAATAAAATTACTCAAGTAAAAGTAAATAGAACAGCATGGTGAAAATACTCATAAAAGTAACTTTTTCAAAAAGTTACTCAAGTAAATGTAGTTGAGTAAATGTAACTAGTTACTACCCAACTCCCAGAGCAAACTTGAACAAGTCCAAGTCTTAAAACTTGCCGTCTCCTATTAAAAACATTTTATAACATGAAAAAAATGAAACACATTTTGTTCGTTTGTGCCATTTTTCCATTGCAGTTGGATCAAATCTCCGTTGTGTTTACATAGTTTGTATTTTATCTGAGATCAAACCTGAAGTTTTATGTAACAACAAAAAGATTTATTTCCAAAACACAGCTGTTCAAAGAGCAGACGATTCAGAAGATTAAACTGGGATGATGCAGCTCGACCGTGAGTCTGGGGTTTGTACCGGGCAACGCTGCATGCTGAGGACGTTTTGCATGATCTCTTACTCTCTGAGGACCGATAGGGTTCATATCGCCGACAGCATCCTGCAACTTTTAGATGTTTCTTTGGTTTTTTAACAGAATTCACACAAAATGTCTAAGGACCTAATTATATAAATCAGGTGTGTTGAAGTAGAAACGCATCTAAGAGTTGCAAGATATTGTCCTTAGAGGATTGGAGTTTGAGTTTTGTGCTTTATTTGACATCCTAAAGTGGTGGATCGTTATTGTTTGAGCTACCACGTGTATTCAGTCTGGATTTGGAGCTTTAGATAAAGTTTAAAGCTGGAAAAAGTTCAAGGTTGAACACAAAATTAATAGAAGTCAATGCAAACCCCTAATGAGTGGATTCATTTATGATGCCTACTTTGGACTTTTTCTGGAATAATCACTTAACTTTTGAAGACCAGCAGTAAAACCAAATCTTGTTCCAACTGCTGCAAACCCCAACTTTTAGAGTTGGGTGCAATTACACTTAAAAAGGTTGGACTGTGTTAAGAAAGAAGAGCTTGTGATTTTGTTTGTTTATACATGATTCTGGAGTCCATTATTCATTTACTACCTGTAAACATGGTGACTGAATTGACTTTGGTTTTAGTTTCAGGGCTAACCTGTGAATTAGGTGAATTAGATAGAACATTTTAAAAGACTTAACATAAAAATTTTGGCAGGCGGGGACATACAAATCTAATCTTGAATAATATGCATAGATATGCATAGTAAATATGAATTTTAATGTGTTTGCTTTGTTTTTCCTGTACAGACTGAAATTATTCTTAAAAACCCAAAACTGGGGACACATTTCTATTCATAAACTTAAGGAGTAAACTTGAAGTTAGTGTTCAGGACTCAACTTTTTAGCTTCCAGCCAAAATAATAGAGAAATTCAACTATTATGTAAATAAAATATTAATTAAATGTCGGTAGAATAACAGGAAATGAAGCCTTAATGTGTAATTTATTGCTCATATCTATTGTATGTTGGATATTTTTTTTATGATAAAATGTTAACAAGTCCATAAAAATACATATTTAAAAAGTATAATAGAAACTTAATTAAATAGAAAAGAACACAATACTTTAAGAATTGCATAACAGCTTCTATTCTGTGGCAAGAATAGAATAGAATAGAATAGAATAGAATAGAATAGAATAGAATAGAACAGAATAGAATAGAATAGACATTTCTTTTGGATTTGAGCATCAACAGATGTCTTACAATGTACAATAGTTTCCAAATATTTATTTGTATTTTTCATTTGTATTTGTTGCCATAATTTTTCAGTAAACAGCAAAAGTTATAGCTGTTACAAACCATATTTTACTAAAACTTTAGTTTAAAAAATTACCAAATTATGAAGAAATTCTTCACTGAACTGTGGAAAGCACCCAACGCAACAGTGACTCTCAGAAAATAACACGAAGCGCACATTTTCCAGGAAGTGTTCTGCTCCCATATTTTTCGCCCTGCAAAGTTACAGCTTTACTTGCATTCAAAACTTCATCACAAAAAAAAAAAGTGGCACCTACCTTCTGCGGGCAAAGTGTCCAGGATGGCAAAGAAGTGTGACTTTATAAACACTCCCTCTTTCAAAGCCTCTCTCTCTGCATATGAAAATGCATGCTATATTATGATGGGTGGGACTAAAACATGTATGCAGAGACAGACGTGAACATGGAGACTTGAATTCTTTGGGACCTCCTTCTACAGTGCAATGTGTTCTGCACTAACCCATAATATTGATGGTGCATACACTGACTTGGCATGCCAGCAAACCAGCCACACTGTGTCATTACAGCCAGCATCTTATCAAATTTTTGTTCGTGTTTATTTGACAACAAAATCTTTGATTACGCTGCCGGGTTTACCCTCTAACCTTTGCCGTCTTCTTTTTCTCTAAACTGTTCAACCCTGTGCTTTAACTTGATGCCTACTTTGGGATGTGAGCTTACAAAATAAATTGGGAAGACAAGCCTATAAAACTGAACAAAATGATATTAGAGTAATGTTTCACGAACTTCAACAAACACTCAAGGTCCATCTAACTTTAAATTACCCCACAATGACACATCTTCATTTAAATACAACCTGAAATAAAAATATTAATCTCTTATCTCACTTATTGTCATGAGCCATTCATTTTGAACTATTTACGTATTGTGAAAAGTTTGGTTTCTAAGCTTTCCAATTATGTCAAATACATGGAACTAAAAATATATAGTTGTTGTTTTTTTTACCACCAATTGTGTGTATTAATAACACTTAGGCCTATTTAATATTTAGAAGCACAATTAAAGAAAATAGATTTGACTTGCTTTGGCAGAAACAACTAAATATGAAAAAATATGCACCCATGTATTTATCTCTTGTATTTAGTGCATTTAATTTTAAGTAAATAAAAATAACAATAGTTGTTGAGGTGCAAGTAGAGCATCTTAAGCAAACAAAATCATGAAAAACAAAGAACAGTATTCTCACTGAGACTTGAGTCCTTCCATTCACGGGATAGAGCTGTTCAAAAGGATTGAATCGTTCGTGAACAACACATCAATACTCTCACTTGGTTTCTTCCGGTCATATAAGTAATCCTGGAGTTGTTTGATCTCCACCGGTATCTTCAGCTTTTCTTTTTAGCAACCTGGTTTTAAGCCACTTGTCCATTATTGATTTTAACCACAATCATTGGAATGCTAACTGCAGCGTCGCCCTTTGACCTCACGCCACAGAAAATGAACACTCCTTTACATGCAGTACCTTGCGGACCACAAGGGGGCGCCCGCGGACCATCAGTGGTGTTCCCTAGTTTGAGGAAAAACTAATAATCCAACACAAAGTAGTAAGCGAAACGTGAAGTCAAACAAAAGTGATATTTCAAACACTTTTTGAAATTAAAAATGTGTAAATTTAATACTTTAATTTCAGTGATGAAAGTATAACTTGGAGTTTGTTTCTACCTGCTTCCCACTGCAGCCAGAAGTGAATTTAGATTTATTTTATTATTATTATTATTATTCATTTTGTTTGTTTTTGCATTATTGCGACCTGTATGTGATCTTTCCATGACAGTCTGAACAGCACAGGCCTCACTTAGATATCTGATACGTATCTGATATTTTCAAATGTGACCCAAGTCCGAACGGCCATGTCGCATTCATTCAACCTGAACGTCACTGATACTCGACAAACGTCACTATTCTGCGTCCTGATACGCGCAAGCGAGAAGAAAAACAACAACCATGGCGAACGATAACGAGGATTAAATTCTTCATATGCTGACTCTGGCCGGACAACAAACTTCAAAACCGTAAGCTATGCTCCACCGTTAGCATCCCTGTTTACTTCCGCAAACACTGAGCACTACTTTTTTATGGCGGTTGGCAAAACTGAGCACGGCTCTCTGTTATTGCCCCTCTATACTGCGCATGCGGGACACTTTCAGGTTGCAATTCACACTGGAGATCCCATTTAGATCACATGTATTTGGAAACGTGAAAGACCACGGCAAGAAAAAAAAAAAAATTTGCACTTCAGCTCTGCAAATCCAAAAACAGGAATAATCACTTTTTTTTCTTCTTTTTTCTTTTTGCAGAAATACCTCAGACTGACATTGGATGGCAGGCACCTGAGAACAGCATTTGAATTTTTTCCCCAAATCTAGCGTTTGTGTGTTTCTAGCGTATTTATGTGTTGCAGAGTCTATAGACTCTCTGCAACTGTGCAACACATAAATATGGTTTTATTCAAACAGTTCCATTGTAGCTCTTGTTGTATCTGTGGATTTTTCTCCATTTATCTTTCGACCTTCTCTGTCCAGCTCAGCTCTGCCTGAAAAGCATCTTCATGTTTTACAGTGGGAGTGATTTGTTCATGAATTTTGCTTTAAAACATGCCTAGGCTAACGTAGAACAGGAAACTCAATGTTGGTTTTTCTCTCCTACATGATTTTTGGAAAGCGTTGAACTTTTTCATTGCCACGTTTCCAAAAAGACACAGTTGTCCTGTCAGCAGAAATATTCTATGTAAACTAAGCATCTCAGTCAGAAGAAATACCTTATGAGCAGTTTTTATTTTTTGCTGGTAAATAAAAGCCTCACTGTGTGCAATAAACCATCTGGGGGGGAACTAATGTAAAAGCAAATAAACGTTAACTCAAATTTCCAAGTGGGGAATCAGTATTTTATCAACATCCATTATCTATTTCAACATAATTACTTAGAAAAAAACCCATAATATTTTAATTTTTACTTTCTAACAATATCGCTTTATCTTGTATGCTCATATTTACTGGTTTTTTTTTTATACAAGCACAGCTTTAGAGAATACAAGAAAAATGAAAGAAATGAAGCATAGATGTGCATTCTTTTATTTAATATAAGTTTATTAATATAAGTTTTCAAATTGATATTATCTGTTTCTGTTTATTTATTTATTATTATTTACATCTGTGTCCATTACATTTGAAGTAAACTCAAATAAGTATCACTGTGAACGCTGTAATGCTCCACTTGTGAAAGTAAATCTGTTGGTTCTCACCTTGACAGTCAGAAATCAGTTCCGATTAAATATTTTGATTTTTTTCGTTAGTGAAATAGTTTTCAGTCACCTTTGAAACACAACACTGTTCTCCTTGGCGATGGAGCGTGGTCTCATTACGCTTGTTTATTTTTGTTGTGTTTTTCCTCTCTGTGCCTGCATGGCGTGTTGCCCTCTTTAATCTTTTATAAACTGTTTTTGTGATTTCCTACTCTCCATGTTTAACTTTTGATCGACTTTCTTGCAGTAATTTATAAGAACCATTCCCTCCTACTGTAAACAGAGAAATGCGTGTGGCGCTTTGTGTGCGCCTTCAAAGTGCCAAGTGACAGGTCAGTGGCAACTTTGCCCTGCCCTGTATCTCCTGTTGATTCACCGGATCTTACCTGTAGCACATAGCAGCAAGTCATCCACCCCTGCAAACCATCAACAAATATTAAATCTGGACAGGAGACAATGTTTCACAGTGGCGTTTTTTTGTTTTTTTTTTTTTACATTGCTTGAATAACAGCTGATTTAATAAACTGTTTTCACAGAATTATTACAGTAATTTACCCAAGATGTACAAATTATTGCTTTCCAGTTGTTAAAGTAGTGTTTTAACAACTGGACTTTTCTGGACCATTTATTAGTCAGAAATGTTTTTTTTAAAACACGTAACAGTCAATTTCAGATGATATTTTGAGGATATTTTGAGGTTACTGCAGATGCTTCTGTAAGCAGATCATTAGTTCAAAGTAAATGATGGTTAAAATTGTATCCAAACTACAGGAACTCCTGAAGCTCTCTATGGTTTTAGATCCAATGACAGCATTTAATACTGTTGACAACGCAACAAAAACACATTTTAGCAATTTTGGTCTAGTTCCTAGTGCACTTGAAATAAGACAAAATTAACTTTGAAATTAGTTATTTCAAGACAAAATGCTTTTTTCACCTCTCTACCACCTCCTTCTGACGGTTTTGTTAACTAAAACAATTTTATCTGTTAATTGGCCCAATTTTAAGATCTTTCTTTTGGCTCAGAAACGCCTAAATGGTCTTGTCTCTCTGTATCGTTTTCACCTTTTATAAACTTATTTTCCACCACACACACACACTCACACACACAAATCATAAATCAGGTTACCGCTTTTGTTGCTTTTTTAAAATACTTTGCTAAAGCTTACACTTTAAACTTGGTTTGTGTTACTTGTCAGACACTTCAAGATGCACATTCATGGAAAAGACTACCAGCATACATCAGGGAGACAGTATAAACTAAAGTGCTGGTTCAAAGTAAACCAGCTACGTAACTATTAATGCCTCCTTATTGAGGAGGGTTTCTGTATCCTGTATTTATATTGTCACCTTCCGAAAATAATGGCCGGAGTAATTTTTTTTTTTTGTCAAAAATGAAAAAATCCTTAAGGTAAAAATTGACATAGGTCATTATTTTAGTAAGATGATGTCATTGTTTCTGTCTGTTTTCTATATATGTCTTGTGTTTTGTTGTTTTTCTTTAATTTATTTTAATATAACTGTGTACTGTGTCTGTCCAATGAATTGTATAGTGAGGTGTTTGTTTTTTTGTCTTGGGACAAAGGATGAAACGGATCTAATGTGCTAATTCCTGCAAAATTACATTGCCATGAATTGGGGTAATGTCCTAATCAAATAAATAAAGCAAATTAAATAAATTCTTATTTTTAAGCAAATGTATTCTGTTAAGAAATAAGATATTATTTAACCTTGTTCTTAATCGTTGTTCTGTACTCTCGTCCGGGTCCAGAATCTTTGTGTTGTTATAGGTGGTTTCACTATTGCAATATTTTATTTCTTAACAACTCTCAGTCGACTTCAGCTCAATGTAAGTAGTAGTATTTGGTTTTTATGTTTGTTTGATGTATTTTACACATTTTCCAGCTTCTTCAACTTTAAAGAAGCTTTTTAAACAAACTGGACTTGACCTTATATTACAGTGTAAAACTACACTGCTTTAAGCAAAAGGGAAACTGAACCAAGTGCATGATTCAGCAGCTGCAGAGCTCAGTTTCTTTACATGTACGTGTGT